TCAATCCTACTTCAATTGCTGGTGAACCGAGTGAAGCGGCTGCAGATTTAGTGGATCCGAATTGTCCATTTTCTTCCATAGACAGATCTTGCGATTTATTTGAAACTACTTCATCCTGCTTTTCCGCTTCGTCAGCCTCATGAGAACTACCAACGATTCTCACTAGCCTCGTCTCGGACCTATTTTGATCGGCCGTAGGACTAGGCGTCTGATCCAAATTCATCAGTGACGATGGAACATCTGGGAGCTCTGGTGACGCAAGTTCAGCTTGAGTTTCCGTAAGCACCTCCGCTTGTTCTATGTGCACTTTCGTACTGTCATGGCGGCTAATTTCGGATCCAGCTGTAAACATTATCTCATCACCAGCCTCACTAGTCCCGTCAATTGCATTGCTTGTCGTCGTCTCATGCCAATCGGCTCTTTCTTGCTCCACACCAGATAGTGCAACTGGAGGTAAACTTGTGTCTTTCGCTGTGCACATTTGGCCCAGGACATCTCCGTTCTCTTCCGTCATATAGTCCTCCTTTGTTCGGTCCTCGATTTTATTGGAAACAATGAGCTTATCCTGGCCAGTAAGGACGTGACGGATCGTGGTTGAAAGTACACCGGAACCAAGAGAATCGGTATACAATCCAACTGTGTATTGAGGACTTATTTCAAGCTGCGGTGCAAGATTATTCGCTTCTTTTGCCTCTTCTTCTTCCTCTTCACGTTCAGCATCCTCATCATCCTCTTCCACGTCGTCCCCATCAATTACCCAAGCGTTGCCAGCTGCGAAAGCCTCTTCATCTCTCATTCGTATAAGCCGACTGATATATATATCTTCTTCAAAGCCATCGTCGTCCTCATCCTCGTTCACCTCGAAGGTAAGAATCTTTCCGTGTTCGCCACGGGATTTCATCCGATGATAGAGTGATACACCGGCGAGCAGACAAGTCATTAAACTCTCCTGACGTGCATCAATTTCAGCTTTGAGGCTCAAGTGAAGATTCATAGTTAGCTTTACGCCAGCTACGTCGTGACAGCCACTAAAAAAAGTAAATAACAGGTTGCGAAAGGAAAAAAGCAGGCCTTTAGATAAGTAAAAATAGAGCAAAATAGTTAAAATCATAATTTTTTTATCCTTATAAAAACAATGATTTAAAAGCACATATTAGATGTTGTTGCAAAATAGGATGAAAAAGACACCAAGACTTAGTCCCAAGCTAATAAGTATTATTTTGAGATATGGTAAATTAAGCAGGGCCATATGCTGAAGACATCCCGCCTATTCTCGCTCAACCAAACATAGAAATAGTAAAAGTGGACTGATATTCCGCTATTTCTGTTGTTTTCATTTCCAATTACTATGATCAGTAAAGAGGCTTCGTCTCCAAGATCTTTTTACTAAGTGATGTTTATGCACCCTATTTAGTTAAGGCTGTAAAGGTCGGGTATTTGAATTTTTCCCACAATAATATGAGTAGACTTTACGTTTCTAATGAATTTACATAGCTTTGTTTCCCAAAACTTGTTCTCATTTAGACCAGAGTGGACAACAGTTTTGACCTTTCATCAGCACCCCAGTGGGACTCGAACCGCCGTATTCCAGTGTATAATCGCGAGACTATAGCAAATACGCTACACTGCCACGAGCGCCCTTGGGTCACAGGACAGATTTTAATTTCAAAGGAGCCTAGGTATTTTCCCATATCACATATATGAGATATACTTGTGGTTTCGAAGACTTACTTCTAAACGAGAAATAACTAATGTAGCCAATTTATAAGCAAATACAACTTTGTAATGAGATGTATTCACCCTATTTCGTCTAAGGTGATGAAGGAGTGGTAGTAGAAATCTCCCACAATGATATGAATTGAGCTGACGTTTCCATTCGAAACCCTACTCGCATAAGAATATAAGTAACGTAGTCGATTGCTATAGCAAACATACGTTTGCTTCATCAACACTGTCACCAAAAAGAATGTGATATAGCAAGATGCCTGGACTTCCTTGAAATTAATTTATGCCGTGTGACTCAAGGGTACTCGTGGCAGTGTAGCTGAGTGGTTAGCGTGTCAAGCTTCCATCCTGCACTGTCG